TATCAATTTTTACTGCTTGTGTTCTTTCTTTTAGATAAGACTGAAAAAGTTTAAGTGGTGTGCCACGTATACTAGCGTTTTCTAATTTAAGTAATAGTATTGGTATAGATACTGTATCAAACGCGCGCGCTAGATCCAGAAAGATCGCAAGACATTTTTTTTTAGCGTCTAAATTTGGGCAATTTGTTGGATAACATCTTCAATTGCATTTGTAGTTGACATGTTTTGTCTAAAACCGTACTGAGTAGGCGAAAAAAAATTATTATTTTCTAGAAAGGTAACAAGTCGGGATGTAATAGATTTTTCCAATATTTTAGATAATGTTGGTAATAGTGAAATCGGCCTATAGTTATCGATTTTAGTTTTATCTCCCGCTTTATGCACTGGAGTAATAAGCGACCTTTTTAACATTGCAGGGAAAGTCCCTGTGGAAAAGCATAAATTACAAATATGCGATATTGGGCGAGCAAGGGACATTGCTCCCATCTTAAAGAACACTGACGGGATACCATCCCATCCAGCAGACAAACTATTTTTGAGTGATCCTATCAACTTACATATTTCATACTCGTCCGTTGGTAACAGTACAAAAGAGTTCAGGGGTGATCTTGCACTTTTCGGATACATTTCGGGATATGTGTTAGGCTCAATTTGTACCGCCTGCATTTTAGTTGCTAATTTTTCACCAACATTGCAAAAATACTCATTTATGTAGTTTACAGAATCTTCAGGAGTACATTTGAGCGATAATAACATATGTGAGGATTTCGCATGGTTATTAAGGTTACAGACTCTTCGTATTGTCTTCCACGTATTTTTAATGTCATTTTTATATTTATTAATTTCAGATTTCTCATATTCATTCTTCAAATTATGCAGTAAATTATTGCAAAAAGTTCCTATACCTCACATATGTTACACGCAAAACAAGATTATTCGGGTCTTTTTTTAAATAACGTTTTAAATATCTCTCCATCTTATGCACCTTACTAAGCCTGGAGTCATCCATGGCTTAATAGCGAACTTTCTGTTACTATTTATACGCTTTGTAGTACACTTATCTAAAATGTTTGATAAAATTTTAAGGAATTTGTCTGTAGCTTCATCAGGATTTAAAAAATCTGTTAGCTCTGTCCAATCAAGTAAACTTAACTCTGTAACCGCCATATTAAAATCCGTTTTGGTTACAAAAATATTCTTTTTAGTGATTTCGCCAGAACGCTTCACACTCACAGACATTAAGACACTGCAGTGATCAGTTATAGATGAGTTACATATCAGTGTCATTGCTTTGGAACCGATCGTTACGAATGTGTGATCAATACAGTTTGGCCCTCGAGTTGGAATAGTGTGACTGGGCATAAGACCATGCATTGATAGTATATTAAGGTAGTCATTAGTTCTCAAATCAGTACTTGTCTGTTTAATGTCCACATTCAAATCGCCCGTCATAATCACATTTTTAAATGTTTTAAGTTCACCAAGAATTTTGTCAAGAGACTGCAGAAATTCATCTATGTTATAAATGGATGGTGATCTATACATTGCGAGTATTGCAAACTGATCATTTATCATTATAAGCAAACTATCCGAATTTACAACATTGGGTTCTCTTACTGTAACATTAAGACTTTGGTGGGTATAAACGACAACTCCACTATTTTGATTAGTCTGTACCGTAGTTGAATGACAATTGTAGTTAGGTATATTAGGTAAATTACTTATATGTGGGAGCCAACACTCAGTTAATATTATTCGTCATCATCATATCAGCCGTATGACGCCCACTGCTGGACATAGGCCTCCCCCAAGGATCTCCACAACGATCGGTCCTGCGCTGCCCGCATCCAGCGTTTTCCCGCGACCTTCACCAGATCGTCGGTCCACCTTGTAGCGGGTCTTCCCACTGAGCGTCGTCCGGCACGCGGTCGCCATTCGAGAACCTTTCCGCCCCAACGGCCATCGGTTCTCCTCGCTATGTGTCCCGCCCACTGCCACTTCAGCTGGGCTATTCTTCGAGCTATGTCGGTGACTTTAGTTCTCCTACGGATCTCGTCATTTCTGACTCGATCACGCAGGGAAACACCAAGCATAGCTCTCTCCATTGCCCGCTGGGCGACCTTGAGCCGTCCTATGAGACCCATAGTAAACGACCACGCCTCACTGCCATAGGTCATCACTGGCAACACACACTGGTTAAAGACTTTCGTCTTAAGGCATTGAGGTATTTTGGACGCGAAGATGTTCCGCAGCTTCCCGAACGCTGCCATTGCAACATGGGCGTTGGACATGATTTTCGTCTTGTCCATGTTCATCTTAAGACCCACTCGCTGGGATGCGTCACTGAGATGCTCGAGCATGGTGTTCAGGTCTTCCAAGATCTCCGCCATTAGGACTACGTCATCGGCAAATCGAAGGTGTGTCAGGTACTCGCCGTTGATGTTAATGCCGAGTCCTTTCCAGTCCAGAAGCTTAAAAATATCCTCCATCGCAGCAGTGAACAGATTCGGAGATATAACGTCTCCCTGTCTCACCCCTCGCTGTAGTTGGATAGGATTAGAGCTCTGATTCTGTACTCGGACCGACATAGTGGCGTTTTGGAATAGATACTTTAACAATTCGATATACCTGTAGTCCACTTGGCACCTCTGGAGAGACTGCAGCACCGCCCAGGTCTCGATCGAATCGAAGGCCTTCTCATAGTCCACAAACGCTAAGCAAAGTGGCCGATTATACTCTTCGGTCTTCTGTATAATCTGCCGCAGCGTATGGATGTGGTCTATGGTACTAAAGCCTTTTCGGAAACCGGCTTGTGCGGGAGGCTGGAAGTCGTCGAGCCTGCGAGCGAGACGATTCGTAATGACCCTCGAAAACAGCTTGTAGATATGGCTCAGAAGCGAGATGGGTCTGTAGTTCTTCAGTAGGGTATTATCACCCTTTTTGAAGAACAAAATTACCTCGCTTCTGCTCCATGCCTTCGGCGTTTTGCCCTGGTGGATGACGGAGTTGAAGAGCTTCTGGAGGACTTTAAGTAACGGCGTACCGCCCTCTCTCAGAAGCTCTGTTGTGATTCCGTCATCTCCCGCCGCCTTGTTGTTTTTAAGATGTTTGAGGGTAGTCTCATTTCATGTCTCTTATCCATGAGTTCGAGTGTGTATGCGGAGAGTTTCTTTAACTTGGTACGGCGGGTTTTAAAGTGTTTAGACCCTACCGTACGGACAGTATCTACCACCAGGTCATTCAGATCGTCCACGTCTATGCTGTTCTCAAGGTACTCGAAGCTGTTCTGGAGCTCGAGCTGAAAGCGCTCGGGGTTTTGAATTTGGGCTGGCACCGGTCGGAGCGTTGATTTTATCAGTCGCGATCTTTCAAGCTTAACGTTGATATTCAATGTGCCTCTTACCATGCGGTGATCGCTTCCTGTCTTAACAGCGTTGATCACTGAGACATCATTGAATATTTGCTTCTTCGTCGACATGATAAAATCAATCTCATTTTTGACCTTGCCGTCGGGACTTATCCAGGTCCATTTGCGGGTGACGGGCTTTCTGAAGAAGGAGTTCATCATATAGAGGTTCTCCCTCTCCATAAAGTCCGCCAGCATCCGGCCCCTGTCGTTCCATTCCCCAACTCCAAATTGCCCCACTCTCAGCTCGTCGCCGCAACGTTTCCACAACTTTGCATTGAAATCCCCCATCACAATCGTGTAGTGGGTTTTGTGGCTATGCATGGCCCGAGAGATCTCCTCATACATAGCCTCCACTTCGTCATCGGTGTGTTTCGAGGTTGGAACGTAGACTTGGATGACAGTCATCGAATATCGTGATGATATTCTGAGTACCAAGTACGCTACTCTACTCGAAACACTACCGATGATCAGCACGTTGTGGACGAGGGACTTATGGACGATAAACCCGACACCACCTACGGACTGTTGGTCGCCCTCCCTGAAGTACAGCAAGTTACCGGAGTCCAGAGTTATCGTGTCCTCTCCCTCTCTTCGGACTTCAGATAACCCGATGACATCCCAGTGTAACTTGCTGATAGCTTCTTCCAGCTCTGTCATCTTGGCATCGGTCCTCAGTGTGCGCGTGTTGTAGGTTGCCAGGGCCAGTATTCTGTTGTTGTGGTAGCCGTGTCCTACCCGGGGATTCTTCGCACCCCCTGCCCCGCCGTTACCGTGGCCGCTACCGTAGCCAGGAATAGCGGGGCCGCCGGGGACTAGGGGCCGTTTCGTATTGTTTCGCATATGGGGGGGATTTTGCCATAATCGCCACGCTTGGCAGGCGGGTTGGCGATCGCAGTATACCGGTTCGCATAAGGAGATGCTGCTGCTCATCTCCTTAGGTGAAGTTTCCCTTAGTCGCCTCTTACGACACCCACGGGATGAGAGAAGGTAGTGCTATTCTATTCTAGGCCGACACTACACGGCACTAAGTCTAATTTAACATTTAGTCGTGTAATGTGTATATTAAAATCTTCAAAATTTTTGTTTATGCTTCGGGTATTTTGTACTATTATATTCAATTGTCTCATAGTACCCAAGATAGAGCCGCAATCCCCGGGATCGTCTACGAGACGTGCCTCCCCAACATTGATATTGTTATCAATATCAATACTGATGTCACGCAGATCATTAGCCCTTATAAAGTAGTTTATTTATTTTTTTATAATCAAATGACACCTCCCGATGACAACCGCGATGATCGCTTATTCTATTTATTAAGATTAGCGGAAGAACCAAATTGGCAAATGAGTATCTTCTAAAATATGAAAACAACAAATAATTAACTATAAAAAATAAATATACATTAATAATATAAAGTATTATTATAAATAAAATAGATATTATAAGACCTGTTGACATTAATAGTTTATGTAAAAAAAACAATCAGAGAAAGAAATTTAAATTTAGAGAACAACCTTAGTTTTCCTAGTCAATAGTTTTCTTCGAGCTTGAGGATTTCAATATCCTTTTGCTTCTTTATGGGAATAGCTGGTTAACCTTCCTCTTTGCGAAGCATCACCATACCCTTTGAGATCCAACAGTACCTGTAATTGCCTTCGTTGGCCAATCCTTTCGCAGAAGCAAAGAGTTTCTTTATAAAGTGTGTATTTTTCTCGTAAATATATATTAGTGTTATAGGGCTGCTAATACCGAGATGAGTACTATTCAATTTATTATCTTTGTTTTCCTTGTTATAAAATGTAACTGCCTTAAGAATTCTAATTTTGTCGGCTGCATCTTTCAGCTCAACTATAATTGGAGCATTTTCCTTACCCCTACGATAGATTTGTTCAATGTCAGGTTTATTCTCTATGACACCAACTACTTTTATTATATTATCGAGCATGGTATGTAGATCTTCATTTTGAAGTCTAGGTACATTTTTAATTTCAATTGTTCTCTTAAATTGATTTTTTTGCAATTCATGAACTTGCTCTTCCAGTTCATCAATCTTCAATTTAGCATCAGTGTATTCATTTTCAATGATCTTTATTTTTACGCGGAGTTCATGATTTTGTTTTTTTGTGTCCTGAAGCATTTTTTTGATTTCACTATTAGATTCAATGATTTTCTTGTTTTGCGATGTCAACTCTTCCATAGCCCTATCCACCCTGGCCCACCTCGAATCCTGATCAATTCGAAATTCATTCATCATTTCCTTAACTTCATCACAAAATTTGGAAAACTTATCATTTTCAGGACATTTTCTCTTTCTTAAATTAAATCTCGTTATAAAATCTTCTCGTGGGCTATTTAAGTTGGGCTGAGAAGATGAAATTGGTGACCGGTGTAGTGGCATCTTATTTTGTTGCATATTCTGTGACCTAACCGAACCGGTATCAAGGCGAATTAGATGCGTAGCAGGAGTGAATGGATAAAGTATACCTTGCTATCTTCCTTAGGCACAGCACGGACAAGGCTCTTCACGACAACACAAAATGGATTTTAAAGGTACAAGCACTATGCATGATATTATTATGATGGGATAACTAGATGCACCTGTAGAGAGCGACACACGTACAGTGTATGATACAACCCGACGATGAATGATTTTATAGTGTACAATAAAGTGATAATTCATTCATTCGTTCCTTCAAGAAGCTTGTACAGGATCCGAATCGTCAAGAATAATGTAAACCTAACCTGAAAAATAAATTGATGTGTAAATATATCTTTAAGTGCGCTGACTTATTTTTTTTTGTTTCTTTATTGTCAGGACAAAGTTTATATGAAAGAAACATAAAAAAAATGTGTACACACATCAAAAAAAGTTTGCGGTCACTTTGAAAAATAGATTGTTTTTTGTGTTACAGAAGACTTTTTTGTAATTTCTTTTTCTGATAAAATTCTTAATTTAAAAATTTGATTTAGAACGTAAAAAAATAAAATAATTCAAATGTTTTTCCATATAAAAAGTCATGCAATCCAGGCTGACACTCATTCAGAAATCTGACTTAGTCAATTATCGAATTTAAAATATTTTTTCACCGAAAGTTGTGATTTAAAAAATGCCACGAGGATTATCAGATGTTTTACGAGGCAGAATTGTAACTTTCGATTTTATTATTATATATTATTATTTATTTTATTCTACGACAGAAATAGCACGCAGAGTTGCTATATAAATAAATAAATAAATATTTCTAACACTCACACCAATTAGCCTAGCCCCAAAGTAAGCACTATAAGGCTTGTGTTATGGGATGCTAGGGTAACGGAAATAATACATATAGAAATACATATTAAACATCCATGACTGGAGTACAAATGCTCGTATTCATCACACAGACATCTGACCCCACCGGGATTCGAACCCGGGACCTCTCGAGGCGGTGACACCATGAAACCCGGCGTACAAACCACTCGGCCACGGGAACGTCAGCGACGGCGATTACAGTGGGCTAGGCTCCTGCAAATCGAAGAAGACGAAGAGGAAAACATTTGGCAAAACTGCCTCTTCGTTGACGAATCGCGAATCAGTACTCATCCAGATAACCGATGTGTCCGTGTTTGGAAAAGACCTGGAGACTCTGAAAGGCAAAGAACGGTTCCACCATGGGCACCAATTTGTACCAATTTGTACGAGTCAATGCTGCTCTCCGAAAATACGAAATCACAAGGTTAGACTGGCCTGCCGGCTCTCCTGACTTAAACCCAATAGAGCACGAGTGGGATGCTCTTAAGAGAGCTGTTTTGGAACCGCCAGCCACCACCCCAGACAATATCGCAGCTCAGTGAAGCTGCTGTTCAAGAATGGGACAGGTTACCACAAGAAATGCTGGATAACTTGATCCTCAGCATGCCCAGGCGGATCTCCGCATGTGTTCGAGCCAGAGGAGTTATTTTTCATTAGATAAACAACAATTTATTAATAAAAGGTTTTTAAGTTTGGTTAAACTATCTTTTTATTTCTATTAAGTTCTATTACAATCGCCTTATGATTGAAATGATATAACGTAAACATTTTCTCTTGATTAAGTTAAATTTTGAAAATATATCAGCTTTTGTAAGTGATCTCAAACATTTTTTGATGTGTGTAGGTATGTTCAATCTGGTGGGCGCGGTTAGCAGAGCCTATAGACGCTTGCTACCATCTTGCTACACTAAAATATTTTTTGCGTTTTGCCTCCTCCAAGATACTATTTAAGATACCCAGGATCTTTAGGCAACTAGACAGACTAGTAATTGCTCTTTTGTCTTCTTGGCGGTAAGTCCTAACTCATTAATAGGTATAATTTACTTTAATCAATAAAAAATATTATAAGAAACATATTAAAACGTAGTTTGAAGTTTCTGATAATGATCACGATCTAGTCAAATGCAACTTTCATTGAATTAAAGTACTGTTAGTAGTATTGGCATGTGTATTTTCCTATTCTGTCAAAAAAAGGAGTTTATAATTTACTACTAACAATCATGAAATAGAAAAGTATATTTAAATCTATTGCCACGTGAGCGAAAACCCCTGAAATGGCGGAGCCTAATATGACGTCACCTGCTTGTAAGCATGCTGTCGAAGTGACATTACTTTGTACCGTTTGACGTTATAATGAAAGCCGTGTGAACGTGAAGTCCAAATCCAAGTTCTGAAAATGCCCGTGCCCGTCGCTCGCACCTCTCACGGATTATTTTCGTTTTTTTACTGATGTAAGTTCGCAACAAAATTATAAATATCCGCTTTTAAAAGTCACTATAATAAATATATACTAATAAATAACGTAAGAACATGTTCAAAAACTTGTCAAATAGCTTAAACTAGTAGGTAGTTATTCCATTTTCGGATATAAATTCAGGATCCATAGACTATCAAAATACATAGTGTAACAAGAACTGATCAAGAGCAGCACTATAACGTGCCATAGATTCAATTTTAGAAATAGATGCTGCTGTCTTCAGCAACGGTTAATTTTAGCCTCCTCCCGCGCGGCTCACGCGGGCCGGTTGTGTGTGTACGCACATCTCCCGGCGTAAACACCCGAGGTAATCATTACAATTATATGTATATCTCTTTAATGTCCCTAACAGTGCTAACTTCCTTTTATTGTGGATAGTAAATTCACCTAATCTAAACTAAAGTGTGAACATTTTAACAAAAGCTTAAACGAAAACAATCGTGAACCTCAGTATCTTCTTACCAAGTGAATGTTGTGTTCGATAGTAAATATAAGTACTTTTCTTTCAAGACTTTATTTAAATTTTCCATTAACGAAAATGAATGAGGGCTACCGTTTTCTGTCTCACCAGATGGCGCCACTGTTGAGTGAGGTCCTAAATTGTAACTTTTAAAGTTTATTAATACGCACATGAAATCAACGGTTACTTTTAGATCGTATTTAACACAAAAGAACCATATCCTAAACATAATAGGCCATGCCACAGTGACGCCCAGTTCCGTTTTATTCGGAAAAAATGGGAACATAATCATTTTTCTAAGCTCAAATTTTTAATAACTGACATTCATTGCCACATAACTCATATTTGCCATAATTAAGCTGAATTGTTACCAATTATTCACAACATTATTTTAATAAGAAATAAACCCGCGTAGACAACCAACAAGCAATAACATTTGACATTTCGGAGACCTCACGCTACACTAGCGCCTCTAGCGGCGGATTCATACGCGATAGCCCTCATTATCAGAACCTTTATGGGCACATGCATATCCTGAATATTGCGTAAACCACTTTGAATTTTTCGCCGTAGAGTAAGCTCTACGGGGGAAAATGCAACCAACTTACCTAATATGACTTTAGCCCCGTCACGTCATATTTATGTCTCACTAGTGGTCCGCCCGCGCTTCGCTTCGGTGTAGAGCTGTAGTGTAGACTATAGTTTTTGTTCTCAGGCTTGTATTATACACAATGACATTCTTCTAATACCTAATTACAATAGGCACGCGCCATCAGGTGCCCCGCCCGGTAGCGTCGGAACCGCTATGTTCCTGCATTTTAAATCTGTAATATCTTCGAAAATATTCATTTAAATTACTTACATGCGTTAAATAGCCAAATTGGTCTATATTAAATGCACAATGTATTTAAGGTACTGAATTGGATAAGGAAGAATGTTATATTGCTGAAAATCGCTTCGTAAATAATCTATTATTTCTCGTAAAAAGTATAGGATATAAAATGGTTATTGTGGGTTATCCCTAAGAGATAGACAGATACCATGGCGGACTTTTTTGTAGACATTTTTAAGGTATACAATACTGCAGTACAATATTTTGATCGATCTCGTAGGGTTCAGCCAGCGTTTGCAATGTAAGCGGAAAAATTGTGTTTATTTACGACCTTACATTAAAAACCTCTAAAATTATCAGTGTTTCCAACCGTTACACAAAAATAATCCTTAAAGCATGATTCAGTATTCACGTGCGACGGCGCGATGGCTTATTTCATGTATAAGTTTGGTGTTTCTATACCGATTTCTATGATTCTTTTTTTATTGAATAGGTAATAATGTTAACTTTTTTAAATTAGGGATGAGTGAGAGTATTATAAACGTAAGAGTAAACAAATATAATCAGAATGCTCCGAACTGCTAAGCTATCAGGAGTTACACGTGTTATTGTGAGTCAACCATAAAAGATAGACATATGCTGTTGCGGGATATTTTTTAGACAATTTTATGTAGAATATTTCCTTCATACATGATTTCTATATAACTTTAACCATTAAGGCTCCACACGCGACGGAAGCTTAAAAAATGGAGTAACTTCTCCCGTTTTCCCAACATTTCCCTTCACTACTCTGCTCCTATTGATTGTAGCGTGATGAAAAGTATACTATAACCTGCCCAGGAGTATGAAGAATAATTGTACCAAGTTTCGTTAAAATCCGTCGAGTAGTTTTTGTTTCTATAAGGAACATACACACAGACAGACAGACAGACAGACAGACAAAAATTTTACTGATTGCATTTTTGGCATCAGTATCGATCACTAATCACCCCCTGATAGTTATTTTGAAAATATATTTCATGTACAGAATTGACCTCTCTACAGATTTATTATAAGTATAGACTAGCGGTCCGCCCTCGCTTCGCTCCGGTGTAGAGCTGAAGTATAGACTACAGTTTTTGTTGTCAGGCTTGTATTATACACAATGACATTCATCTATGATTCTTCTTATACCTGCATGCAAAGTCTCAGCCCGGTCGGTTTAAAATTGACAAAGTTTCATACAAACTTTCATTCCCTATTTTATCCCCTTGGGGGTAGAATTGATCAAAATCCTTTCTTAGCGGATGCCTACGTCATAACATCTACCTGCATGCCAAATTTCAGCCCGATCC